ATACATAAGTAAAAATATTTATCCGAATGTAGTACTACCCCCCAACTTTATGGATTGTTTTATGGATTAAATTTTACGTATTATGATTGAATTAATATGGTAAGTATTTCAGAATGGAACGCATCCTTTGCTGTTGGTGCTCATATTTTGTTACAACATCATCATCCTGTGACATTAGCAATGGCTAATGCTTGACTGCAGCTAAAGCTTCCCTAAAAGACATCAAAGTTGTAGTTGTGGCCGGTGTCTGAGCTGCGCTTCAAGCCTCCGGACCACAGGTACCTTTTCATATTGTTTTCAATGAACATATATTGAATTTAAAATTTAAATACTATCTTCAGCAGCATTAGCAGCGGTTAGCGTTAGCTAAGCAGGATGATGTCATCTTCCTGCAACACTGTATTTTATACCCTACATTTGTCTTCTTTCTACTGCTTGCTCTTCTGGGGAAATCTAACCTTCTGTCTTTGTCTCTCCTCTTAAGGCTCCAGCATGCTGCTGCCGAACTGCCAAAATCGTGCCGAACTGTCGCAGTTTTAAGACGAAAATTGCGTCACTTCTGTTCGCATTATCTGCATTTCCTGTCGCAACCCGCGGGTCGAACTTTTCACCCCCCTCCACATGAGAACACAAAAACTGTATGGTGTGATTGGTCTGAAGTTCATGAGAGTGTTTTTGTTTGTGCTCAGATGCTGCATTTGCTTCAACCACACCCTTCAAAAAAAAAAGAAGAAGAAAAAAGCGATCGCTTCCAGAGCCGACTGCTGTACCAGGAAGCAGCCATTTTAAAAGTTTAGTCAAACGGCCAAAAGCTCATAAATGGGGATAAAACAGACATTTTTCACAGTGGAATCTGACTGATAAAAACTTTGGAGCTTAATCCGGGACCAGTTTGAGGATAAATAACGTCGAGCGAGCCGCGGACTTTTTTTTTCTGCATTGGACTCCCCCCGGGAAGGAATCCCATGCAGTGGCGTTTGCTGGAGCGGGAGGGGTTTCCCCAGGAGCTCAGCTCAGGGTGTCTCAGGAACTATGAAAGGTATGTGCGAAAACGAACGCCGAACAACCACGTGACGATGCGTCGACCGGTCAGCTGCTGAGCGACCATACTGCAGGGTCCAGCCACATCATGCTCCATCTGTTTTACCTTTGCTACCCCCCACTTTGTCCTACATTGCATCTCCTTATATTCCTGTCTCCTCTCTTCAGTCTTCTCACTGTCCCTCTTCCTCTGAATAACTTCCTGCACTTCACTGTTCTACCATCAGGTTTCCTCCTCATCTTTTCTCTGTCCAGATGACTCCAGGTATCTGTCTCTCTATTCACTGTTGCTGCAGTAAGTCCAGTCATCTGGAAGCTCTTTCTTATACCAGCTCCTCCCTGAACGCCACACAACATTCATCCTTAGTCAACGTCCAYCATTCATGTCTGACTTTACTCTTTCCCTTCTCTTCTCCACAATCGCCATCTTACACACCACCATCAGATGTCTSTCCTCTGCTAAAACCTAACAGAGCCCAGTCTGCCTCAGGTTACCTCTACCTGTGTACTCCTGCCTCCACTCTACAGCTCAGCCTGTGTTCATCCCTCCTTTGGAAACAGGAGASCAGAACAGACCGCTACAGAAGATCTGTCCTGCCCACATCCATCAGCATCTACAACAACTCTTTAGTTAAATGAGTTACATCTAATTTCCCTCTGGGATCAATATAGTATTTTTGAATTGAATTGAAATAGGTGTTGCTTTCCATCCTCTTGGCAAAATCCTCCACCATCTGTCCTTCCTGGTTCCTTTCCTTTACACCACACCGGCCCATCACTTTCTCATCTCCTCTGTTTCCTTCACCAACTTGTCCATTCAGACCTGTAAGGCCACATTATGTAATAATGTAATAAAATTGGGCTTCAAAATGTAATAAAACCGCACTAAAACCACATTATGTAACAAGATTATTACAGTTTGCAGTGACTGTTACAAAATGCAGTGGTTGCTCTTTGTAGAAATTATGTCAATTAAAAATACAATAAAATTTATTTTAATTTCTTAAAATGAATGTGAATCATGTTTACAGTCATGTTCTGTTCCCCTTCATGAAAAAATGAAAAAAATATTTTTAC